AAAAGTTTGACCGAGCACTTTGATATTTTTCTTTAGGGACTACAATTGATACGTTTTCAGGAAATACACTGAAATCATGGCCCCAGTTCATTTAATGTTTTAAGAGATTGTACCTAATTATGATTTTTTTTTTTGTTTGTTTGTGTTTTTCAGCAAACTATTTTAGAAAATTTCCTTTTAAAACTCTTTTTTTGTCTTAACAGACATCACTTTTACAAGAAACAAAAGGGCAACATTTCCAGACTTTGGGCTTCTTTCATATTAGTTTGCATTTTGGAAAATGCAATAAAGTTTGCTGACTTAGGTAGTAACAGTTTCTTTTATCCGTACCAGTGGATGTACTACAGATTAGTATTAATTCACTAGTTAAATCTGTGCAAAGACAAAACTTATCACAAAATTCGAATATGTAGAGTGACTTTATTGAAATTCCTGAGATATTAACAATATGTCATCAGATGAATACTCAGAGAAAAGACAAATGCAAATGTGTGTTCTATACAAACACAACATTTGTACAGAACACTATACTTTTTTATACTTTGAGCAAATAAATACAAACATCTATTATGTTAAAAAAAAAAAAAACAAAAGAAGCTCTTGTTAAGCCAGTTTCAGTGTCTCTTTAACCATGACACCAACTCCATCAAAAACTTTATGAATGGGAGCGTTGCACATGAAGGCACAGGTGGTGACCAGCTTGTTTTTCACATCGACGTGAGCTTCCTCCACATCTTTGTTCACGTGTTTGCAGCCCATCTCCTTCACAGCACCTGCTGTCTGAGCATACGGCCACCTGAGGATGAAAACAAGTTTAAGAATGAGACTGAGTTTTTCAAACATACATAAAAAACCTGATGATGAACAACTGCTTTACACACTTTTCACACTCTTTGTCCTGCCCCACGGTGAGCTCACAGCCAGGCAGGATTTTAGCAGCCAAGATGGGGGAGATGCAGCACATGCCCAGCGGCTTCCCAGCTTTGTGGAAAGCCTTGATGAGCTTCTCCAGATGTGGCTGGACGGTGCAGTCCTTGTTCTTTACCGCCCAGTCACTCAGGTTCTTAGCCACACCGAAGCCCCCTGAATGAACACAGCAGGACTCATTTAGAATATAGCAGCAGTGGAAGTGAAGAAATGTCATTTATTTTGCTCTGTGATGCTCATTTGTGGCAAAGTCAGTCTCACCTGGGATGATGGCAGCATCAAACGCTGACACATCTAACTTGGCCAGATCAGTGACGTCACCTCTGGCGATACGAGCACTTTCCTGCAGGACGTTTCTCTTCTCCTCTGTAGGTTTCCCCTCGCAGTGATTCACAACATGCATCTGATCTGCATTTGGAGCAAACATCTGCACCTGTAATCAAACATGAACATGTTAAACATTTCATATATGATTAGCCTTTGTATCTATGAGGATTGTGGATCTATTAAGAGGTGCTATTATGGACAATTGTAAACGTAAAACCTGCAAAGTATATTGTATTCAGAAGTTTTATACACATAAACATACTGTAACACGTGGATTTTTCTTGGCTTCTTGCTCTTACTTTTGCTCCGGCACGACTCAGATGGACAAGGACAGCGGAGGCCTCATGGATCTCTGTGCCGTCATAGACTCCACAGCCTGAGAGAATAACTGCAACACGCTTCGCCATGATTCCTATAAAAACACACAGACACAAAAAACAGGTTTAGCAAGATTCAATATCATATTGTTTCCTTNACACTCGTCGGGGGAGACATACTAAAGGGACGCTGTGACACCTTCTATGGTCACTGGCGAAACCCTCTGACCAACGAGAGTCTGAGGAAGAAGTTCAGGCACAACGCGGAGGTGGTGCTTCCCTCAGAGAAGGTTGAGAGGCTGATTGATGTGGTGGAGGAGCTGGACAGACTCGGGGACTGTAGCGCCCTTCTGTCACAGCTGCAGTGAACATTGACACAAACATAACAATCACAAAAAACTAAATACATTTTACACAACAAGAGTATTAAAATTAGAGTAAATACAACATATTTCCTTTAAGAGGTTTCAGTGAAAGAATTATAATGAACTTAAGATCAAATATGATGACAAATAACATGAGAGTACTAGAAAATAAAAGTCCATTATATATATATATATACTGTGTATATATCCAAAGTATCTCTATGGGGTTAGGATCTAGGTTCTGACTGGAAGCTCCAAAAGGTAGATTTTGTTTGTTGAGATCATTCTGTAACGGATTTTCTTGAGATTTTTGAGTCTCTGTTCTGCCGCATAACCCAACTTCTCCTGAGTTTCAGCTTGTAAACAAACATCCTGACATTATCCTGGAAAATACTGTGATAAATAGCTAGTGACAGCAAGCTGTCGATGTTCACAGGCAGTGAAGAACCCACCAAAACACAATTTGCACATTGCGGAGATGTTTACCAGCATTTAAGCCGTCAGCTGTTACTTTAAGCAGTTTTTGGGTTGTTTTTTTTTTACCTCGTCATCTTAGCTTGGTGGCCACCTCTGGGGAGAGTAGCAGCAATACTGCATTATATCTATTTATAGTTATTTCATCTGACTGTGAACTGATGAATATGTTACTTTGTAAACTTTTAGAGCTCAGTACAAATCAGCAGATCTTGAATGCAGATCTTGTGAAACCTCTTTTTCAGGCTACACTATGAATGTTTGCAGGATAGATTTGAAACAGATGAAAACCATAAAATGTATTTTTTTTTCATTATTGTAAGTTAGATGAAGATTTTGCTATATTTTAAGACTAATTTGTACATTACTGTATGTTATTGTGCAGCGTGACAATGACCCCAAACATACAGCCAGATCTCAACATCGCTGAGTCAGTCTGGGGTCATGAAGAAGAAGAAGCAGCTGAGTCAGCGTAACTCAAGATGTAAGATTTTTCTTAAATTAATAAATAAATAAAAGGTATTTGTGGCAAAAACGATGGAAGCATTTTTATTTTACACTTAGTGTCTGGAATCTTGGCATGATACTATATGATAATAATTCATGTTACTCAAGAAGTAACTCAAAGCGCATACAATCAATTGTCAATAATTCACTCACACACATTGGTGGCAAACTACGAGTGTAGCTACAGATGCCCTGGGGCAGAGGCGTGGCTGCCATTCTGCACCTACGGCCCCTCCAACCACCACCTCAAATAATCCATTCATACGCACTTGGGTGGGTGAAGTGTCTTACCCGAGGACATAATGACCATTACACAGGTTACAGGGCAGAATCGAACCACCGACCTTCCGATCATTGACCGACCCGCTCTACCACCTGAGCCGCAGTCGCCCACTTATATATATTACATTAGTGTGCACAATCTTGAACAGAATACTGTTCGTCTGTGCAGTCTGTTATTGTACATTCTAAAGTTTTAGCAGAGTTGACATCTTCAGGATAAAACCCAATGGTTATGCTGACATTTAGATTAAAAATACATCTAAATCACATCAGCAAACAGACAATCAAAACCAAAAATAAAAGCCTGTATCAAAGACTTAGCCTGCAACTCTGCATTGCTACCAACAAGCACAAGTTAGCAACAAACAGAGTAAATATCAAAGCAGAAAGACATGTTTGAAATATCAGTGAATGCACTATTACAACTCTGTATCTGAACTGCACAAGTTCAATATTTAAAGTCAAGATGAAACACACCTGAGCAAAACAGCCAGTAGATTAGGTAAACCTCTTTAAAGACTTGTT